ACACCACTTCCGCACTCAGAGCGAAACGCACGTGGTGAAGATGTTTCGCGCCCAGACTCACTCACATTTTGACACACTCACACTAACACTCACTCATTCCTTACTCAGAGTCAGTCTCACCACCTCCGCGCTCACTCACACACACACACACGTGGTGAGGATGTCTCGGGCGAGGCCCGGTCTCAGCACTCCCAAAGGGGGGCGCCAGGGGTCAGGACACTCCAGGATTCGCGCCCAGATTGTGGGGATGTCTCCAGCGGTAAGCATGTTTCGGTGCCCAACAGCTCTTGCTTTAGGAACAGTTTCTGAGGATGTCTTTGGCGAGGCGCTGGTTTCAACACTCCCAACGGGGGGCGCCAGGGGTGGGGACACTCCAGGATTCGCGCCCAGATTGTGGGGATGTCTCCAGCGGTAAGCATGTTTCGGTGCCCAACAGCTCCTGCTTTCGGAGCGGTTTCTGAGGATGTCTCAGGCGAGGCGCTGGTTTCAGCACCTACGAAGGGGGGCGCCAGGGGTGGGGACACTCCAGGATTCGTGCCCAGATTGTGGGGATGTCTCCAGCGGTAAGCATGTTTCGGTGCCCAACAGCTCCTGCTTTCGGAGCGGTTTCTGAGGATGTCTCAGGCGAGGCGCTGGTTTCAGCACCTACGAAGGGGGGCGCCAGGGGTGGGGACACTCCAGGATTCGCGCCCAGATTGTGGGGATGTGTAAGGCGGTATGCCTGTTTCAGTGCACAACATCTCTTGCTTTCTGAGCCCTCTCTGAGGATGTGTCAGGCGAGGCGCTGGTTTCAGCATTCCCAAGGGGGGGCGACAGGGGCCAGGACATTCCAGGATTCGCGCCCAAATTGCGGGGATGTCTCGGCGGTTTGCCTGTTCCGGTGCACAACACCTCTTGCTTTCAGAACCGTTTCTGAGGAGGTCTCAAGCGAGGCGCCCGATCGGCTTTTCCGTCGCCGTTGCGCAAGCCGGCCTCGGCTGCCGCCCCGATGGCAAGTGCTGACGGCAAGTGTTCTTTGGCCGTGTAAGCGATCGTTTGTCTCATCGTCCCGATGCCAAGTGCGGACGGTCCCGATCGGCGGCAAGCCCTGGCGGATCTTGTTCATCTGTGGGCGAAATATTCATGAGTTTGACCGCTGGGAAAAACAGGGAACAGGCAACAGGATGTCTCAGGCGAGGCGGTGGTTTCAGCGCCCCGAGGGCCCCAGATCACGAGGCAATATCATGCTGTTTGCTAAATTCGTAGCCAATTTCGCTTGCGTTTTGAGCATATGCTGAGGATATCTCAGGCGCGGCGCTGCTACCGGCACCCCACGGGTACCAGATTGCGAGGATGTCTTAACCGATTTGCCTGCGTCGGTGGGCAGACTCGTCTGCGCCCAGAGCAAGCCGTGAGGAATTATCCGGCGGATCGTTGGCCCGAGCATTCCGCAGGGCTCAGATTGCGAGAGGAGGCGGAGGAGGTGGAGCTGGAGTAGGAGGCGGTGAAGGGGAACACGTAATTGGGGAGGGATGGCGAAGAGAAAGGAGCAGGACTAGGAGAAGGAGGTGGAGGAAAGGGGAGGCGAGGCGAGGCGAGGCGAGGCGAGCGCCGATGCCGCTCCGTGCGCGCGCCCGGAGCGCCTCCTACAGAGGTCGGCGGCGGGGCCGTAGCCTACGCCCCTCAGATTGCATCAGCCCATTGTTTTCGAGGCCCGTGTGGACGCCGCGTTGCGAGTTGGCAAACGTGTCGGTCCCAGCGATACGCTTTGTAACTCCAGCGATCCGGGCTGCAATTCGAGATCCTCTGAGCCCGTTCCAATTTCCTGCGTTTATGAATGCCAACCCATTGTTCAAAACCCAAATTTGCGAATGCTTGCTCGGAACTGTGCGTGGCGCGTCGGATCCAATCCACCCAAGAGTCCAAGCCGAATCCGTTGCCTTTCGTGCTGCTGTCGCTGGTATTGGTCGTTCGCTTCCGCGGCGAACCGAATAGCATCCGTAACATAAGGCGTTGAGTTGCCACCATAAGCTGTTCCAGAGCAGCTGTCATCGTCCATGATGCACATCCGTACAACATTGTAGGTGTCGCGACGCCATTAAAAAGTCTGAATATGTCGCGCAATGGATACGACCGACACAGCAGTTCTTGCTTGAACAACCCAAATTTCCCGAGCGGCTTGAATACGTGCGTCAGTTTCCAATTTCATTTGGTTGCAAAACGTAAGCTGTCGATCCAAAGACTTGTGTGTTCTTGCGTACGCCAATATTTCAACGTCGCAGTTCCCAACCTTGCTGTATTCTGGATTTGTTATCGGCCGCCGGGCTTCCATGTTGTGCAACATCTTCGTTTTCTCCGGGTGTAATTCAAAGCCTGTCCGTCTGGATGCATCCACAACGTCTTCCAGCATCCTTCGTACTTGTGTCAAAGACGCCCCAACCAATATCACATCATGAGCGAACTTCAAGTTCATCAAGCCTGCTTTGTCGAATACACACAATCGCATACCGTATCTACGTTTTTTTCCCCATTTGGCCCGGCACTCTTTGAATATCTTTTCGGGCAAGCAGTTGAAGAGCAGAGAGCTGACCGGGTCTCCCTGTTTTGTCCCGCGATCTATATTGAATGGTTTGCTTTCCACATCTGTAACCACAGTTGCTGCTTGTCCGCTGTACAAGTTGGAAATAAGAGCGATGTAAGGTGAAGGGACGCCCTGCGATGACATAGCTGCGCAAAGGGATTTGTGAGATACTGTATCGATACATAATCAGCGCGAACAGATGATCATCAGCACTGTAATGCTTCCGGAAGCGAGCCTGTTCTGGTGGTTGGTGACATTCTTGAAAAGGTTCGAGCCGATTATGAAGCATGCTGGAGAAAATCTTGTACATCAGCGGGATGATGGAGATAGACAGGTAGTTTTCTGGCAAATGCGAATCCCCAGACTTGAACCTTAACTTCAAGTTCGTCTTCTTCCAAGCGGATGGTGCGGTAGCTCCGGGCTTGATGACATGGATGTAAAGACTCAGGAGTGCAATCTTCAAGGCGAGGCCGCCGTTCTTTAGCATCTCCGCTGAAATTCCTGCGGTGTCCGCGGCCTTGCCATTTTTGAGCTGCTGCAGCCCTGTATCCAGCTCTTCCATCACAAATTGTGGGATCGCTATGTCGTCATGCTCGCTCGCCTCGGCTTGTCGCCGTGTGTCCAGTGGCAAAAAATCGTCGTTGCATGCGTACAAAGCCTCATACAAATCTGTAAATACATCCGCCATCTCTCGCCTATCGTGAGTCACTTTCCCGCTTCGGTTCTGCATCGATGTAACGTAAGGTGCACCCGTTTTTGCAACTTTTGATGTTTGTTATTCTCTGCAGCCCAGTGAAATCTTCGAGAATGCGCGAAATCTTAGCTGAACGCTTAGCTTGCTCTGTGCTGGAGAGGTGTTTCTTAATAGTCTTGCTAACGTCTTTTCGTTCCCGGGCATTGCTTTTTGGTATTGACCTGCGGCGTTCCAGAAGTCTGGTAAGAACTGCATCCTCAGCTGGAGCATCATTGGAACGTCTCTGTGGGTCGTGGCCAACCGCCTCCATGGCTTCCCGAATGGAGGCTTCGATCTTGGAGGCTTTGCCGTCCACGTCGCTGGCCTCAAAATCAGACGCAATGGCGGACTGCTCCAAAACATCCACATAAGAAGAAATCGACTGTGGTGGCCAAGGTCGCACCTTCGCACCTTAGCGGCGACACGTGTTGACCATTCCCTCTACTTGTTGATGGATCCGGAAAATCATTTCAGTATTGAGCTGTTCAGCCTCACAGCCACATGGTCGGATCCCAAATCCATTGCCGTTGTTGTGCAGCAGTCGCTCGTCGTACGCCAAAAGGCCTCTGATACGATGATGTAGTCCAGCTGTTTGAATCCATGCCGTGAGTGGTGGTAGGTATATAAATGACACTCTTTGTTTTGAAACAATGGATTCGTAATCACAAGGTTTTCGCCGTTCGTCCATTGCTTCAACCACCGTCTCATACGCGTGCTTTCCGCATACCCGCCTGTTGTCGCAATCAAAAGATGGACCAACTTCTGCGTTGCAGTCTGCCCCGATGACGGCATGTAGCTTACGCTTCCTGGCATTCCGGAGGGTCTTGGAGAGCATGTCGTACATGGTCTGGATGTGAGTATCGTTTTTTTGTGTGGGAAATACGTTGGTATGAATCTTGCCCGTAGGCTCTTCGAAACAACGTCAACGTATGCAACCTTGCCACTCACATGACTCAATCGTCGTACGTATTTCGCCCACCGTGCATGGATGATATTACCAACACCATGTCTATAGGCATCTCCCCCGGATCCTGCATAATTGTGTCCATCTTCGAATGCCCACGTCTCATGGGCAGGACGCATGTGGAAACAGAAAGAGTGTTCTCGCCACCGAACGGGCAACTCGGTTGGCCGAGGCCAGAGGATCGAGGTTCGAGGCTCCTGACTCGAGCTTCGTCGCTCAATGTTTTTCCAATGTTTTTACAGTGTTCGAGTTCCCCTGGCATACATTGTTCGAGTTCCCTTGGCATTCTCGTCTTCACGGACTGATTATCCTGACAGGTGCTCAGAGGAAAAGAAGGGGAAAGAGGAGAGGACAAGGAGGAAGAGGAAAGAAGGAGGAAACGCCAAGTTCAAGTCGTCGTAGTCGTCGGCGTCTCTGTCGGCGTCGTCTTCCACGTGGATTCGCTGACGCTCAGATCTTGCAAGGATAATGCTTTCTACCGAAGCATGCCATCACTATGAGATGCACATATGGGGATATTCGCGTCGAGTAATTATTCCGTTTCGTCCTTCCACCCTCTTTTTTCTTCGCCCAGTCCATTGTCTTCCCCTTTCTTCCTCCACTTCGCCGTCTCCCTCCTCGTCCTCCTCGTAGTCCTCGCTGTCGTCGTCGTCGTCCTGTTCCTTCTTATCTTCTTCCTCTCTCTCCTGTTCTCCTCCTGTCCTCCTCTCCGCGCGGCGCGCCGCCGCTGCGCGCGCGCGAAGTTGGCCGCGAACTCGCGGCTGCAGCTGCAGCACCACGTGGAGGACCACTGCCGGTCCTCTGGCGCGAAGGAGATCACTGCCGAGGCCTCGGGGGCGGGCGTCGACAGGTGGGGACGGTAGTCAAGGAGTGGCGAAGTGTTTTGGCTTGCTTATAGGCCCACCAAAACATGTTCCAAGAACCTCCTGTGGCTCGCACGAAATATTATTAGAATCAGAGTGAGGGGGGCGAACGCTCATTCATTGTCCATGAGTGCGTAGCTGAATAATGAACTCGTGGTGAGAATTCGGCTTGTTGCGTTATTGTTGCTGTCGTCATCGTCGTCGTCGATGTTGTTGTTGTTGTTGTTGTTGTTGTTGTTGTTGTTATTGTTGTTGTTGTTGTTGAACATTATTACTTCTAAAGAATAATTATTGTTGGGACCCCTGGTGCACGCCCCCCCCGCCGCGCCTAGGCCGCAGCCACTTTTTCATCATTTTCGAGCGAAAGCCCTTGACAAAACGATGTGATCCAGATCCGGTTGTTTTGTTCCCCCCCGCTTTCCCTTGCAAAAAACAATATAAAATGACATTTCTTGTTCTAACATAACCAAACTTCAGGAATCCATTGTATAAAATGACACAAAGTGCACATTCGCGCGCGCAAGACGAAATCCTTCCAAAACCTTAGTTTTCGTAGCGATCTTAACATAAAAACATCAAAAGCCCAATGGTTTTTCAAAAAAAAGTTGTGAAAAATCTATCCCGCGCGCTCTTGCGGATTCATAGGAAACCCAACACTTTTTTAACATTTCTGTCAAAAAGGGCTTTTGCGAGCAACTTTTTCACGTGCTTCGAACTTCTGCAACAACGGTTGCGCACCTGCCAGGGCCATCATCCCTGTCAAATCATACCATGCGGGACACATTCGTTTTTTCTTCGCGCGCGCACGCCGTCGTCGTCGGCCGCGGGGCCCTGAATAGTAGCCACGGTCGTCCGCATGCCACGAAGTGAAGTGTCCGAACGTCATAGGGCGGGAAGCTGGGTGTGGGTGGTGGCGAAGAGTCGTTTGGAAATTTGGTAGAGCTTGAACCGGCCCCCCCACAAAGTGGGGGTATTGCCCGCCTCCTATGAAAACCCTGGCACTGGTGAGAACGGAGTGTCCCCACGTGCTAGTAATTGTTGTTGTTGTTGTTGTTGTTGTTGTTGTTGTTGTTGTTGTTGTTGTTGTTGAATTCTCATTTTTGGAGAGTTATTATTGTTGATCCCCCCTCACCGGTGCATATTGTTTTTTCACAATCAAAGTGTGTCCCTCGACGCTCGCACCTTGTTTTTTGACACGGAAAGTCTTCCTGCTCAAACTGGCCCCCTGGCCCCCGGGTTACAACAACAACGGCTCCCGCCTGAGACTTCCCTACAATTTAGCCAGGACCCCCGCTCCCGCCGGAGACTTCCTGGCATGTTATTCAGGAATCGCGCTCTCGCTTGGGACTTCCTTACAATTTATACAGGAATCGCTCTCCCGGCGCTCTGTAGTCGCGCTCTCGCTGGAGGTTTGCTTGCAACTTACTGAAGAATGGCCTTGCGTTGGAATTTCTTGCAATTTGCTCAAGCGCCGCGCTCCCGACACCCAGGCACCAGGAGTCGCGCCCGTTGTGGCCGCATGTGCATGCCCTTGGTGGCCCCGCTGTCGCCGTTTGTGGCCCCCTCAATGTCCTGCGTGGCCCAGTTGCTACCCTCAGTGGCCCCATCGTTGCCTTCTGTGGCCCCGCATTATCTGCCCTTCGTGGCCCCCGCTCGTTCGCGCTCTTCGTGGCCCCATACGCATTCCCTTCGTGTCCCCGCTGTCGCCCTTCGTGGCCTACTTCGTGACCTTCGTGGCCCCGCTGTCGTTCTCTCTCGCGTTCGTTCTTCGTCGCCGTCGTCGTCGCCGTCGTCTTCGACGTCGTCGTCGTCGTCGTGGTCGGTCCCCTGTCCGTCCCTCTTGGGGTCGGGTCGACGGTCCGCGGTCGCCCCGCCGATCAGCGCTGCCGCTGGCCAGGCCGACGGTCCGCGACCGCCCCGCCGCTTGCCGGGGCCCGGCCTGCAGGGAAGAAAGGTATACCCCCAAAAAGGGCTCGATCGAAGACGAAGATGGCGGGTTTTGAGGGTTTGGAAAGTACGCGTTGTTGGACACTCGAGCAGATAAGGGCGAACAATATCACAATAATTGATGTTGTTGTTGGTGGTGCTGCTGTTGCTGTTACTGTTGCTGTTGCTGTTGCTGTTGCTGTTACTGTTGTTGTTGTTGCTGCTGCTGTTGTTGTTGTTGTTGCTGTTGTTGCTGTTTTGTTATTGTTGTTGTTGTTGTTGCTGTTGTTGTTGTTGCTGTTGTTGTTGTTGTTTGTTGTCGTCGTCCCACCCGTGACCCACCCGCGACCCACCCCGCGACCCACCAGCGACCCACCCTGCGACCCACCCAGGACCCACCCGCGACCCACCCGAAACGCACCCCGCGACCCATCCGCAACCCATCTGTTCCTCCGCCTCTTACATGTTTTGCTCCTCCTCCTCCTCCTCCTCCTCCCCCTCCTCCTCCCCCTCCTCCCCCTCCTCCCTCCCCCTCCGCCTCCTCACGGCCCGCGCTGGCTGAAAACGTCACCCTCGCAGCCAGTTTTTAGGCTTTTTAATGCTAGCCGCGCCAGCTGTACCGCAGCATCGTGGCAGCATCCGCCGACGGCTCATAGATCCCAATTGTCCTCCCTTCGCTTCCCCCCCGCCGGATCGGCCTGCGCACCCTTGGCGCCGCGCGCGATTATCGGCGCGCGCGGCCGGCAGGTGGTGTTCACCTCCAAGCCGGACCCCATGGCGACGCGTCTGGGCGGCTGGGCGTCACGGGCGGGTGGTGGGGAGGGCCTCCTCTTACCAGCCTGCAGCATATCCATCTCCCAGTGATTGGTGCCGAACTTAAGGACTCCCGTAGTTCCGAAATCACATCCCTAATATGTTCATCGCCTGGGGCTTGTCGATCTTTGGGATAGTGGTAAGGTCGAGGCTGGTCATCCTCCTCCCTCATGGGGGTGGATGAGGGGGGGGTCGGCCAAGCTTTTGCGTAAGAGTGACCTTTCGCTTGAATGACTTGTTCTAGGCCTCCCAGATGGGACCCGAACGGATGGGGTCGGAGGATCGCCGATGCGACGGCGATGCGGCTCGATGCGGAGCCCGATGTTCTCCACGCAGACGGTGCCGATGCATCGCCGACGTCTTGGATGCATCGCCGATGTATTGGCGTTGCAGCGCGATCTTCCGACCCCATCTACTGCGACCCGATTTGGGAGGCCTTTACTGATCTGTGCGAGCACATTGGTCCCCCAGCGCTGGTCTGCTCGCTTGGGTCTGGCGTCCCCGAGGCCACCTGAAGCCGCGCACCAAGGGTCACTCTTGCCTAGGGTCACGCTTACGTGTAGACGAGAAGGGAATGGGAGAGGGAAGAGGTGGCGGATGGTGGCTGGGGGAAGGGTTGGGCAAGTGGGGGAGAGATGGTGGGTCGTGGCTGGGGGAAGGGCGTTCGGAAACAGGGGTCCCTGGAGCTTTCGACATCGGGGAAACGTAAGACACGAGTAAGCTGGATCTCCGGTTTGCCGACGTTTTTTGACGAGCGCGTGCTGGATTCAGACGGTCCAGTTTCGCCGGGAGTTCGCGTCTGTTTGCAGCGGGAGTTCGCGTCAAATTTCAGATTGGGTCTCGTCATTTTCATGATGGCCCCGTCAGGCCAACCCGAGTCCCCCGTACCCGAGTCTTATGTCTCCCCGACCAAACAGGGGAGAATCCTCGACCCCTCCGTCTCGATCAAACAGCTGCAAACGCATAAACCTTCGGGGCTCCGCGCGGATCTCTTGGGTCGGCGCTGGGCCCGCTGGCGGCGCCTGCGGCGCTGGCACTGGCGCGTTCCGCGCGCCGAGGAGGGGTGATCAGCGCCGATCCAAGAAGTCCGCGCGGACCTCCAACGGTTTACCTTTTATGCTGTTATTCTCTTTCCGCTCGAAAGGTGATCTTTCCTCCGCCGAAGACGACGGACCTGGAGCCACACGCGGGGCCGGTCACCGTGGCAACCTTCTCGCCCTTCCACCGCAAGTTGCTGCTCACCGGGTCCACCGACGGCTCGGTGAGGTTGTATGACGTCCTGCAACAAAGGCGGGAGTCCGTCCCGTGTCCGCGTCCGCTCAGACCTCGGGAGGACCAGACCTCTGGACAGACAGACAGACAGACGCCATGCACATCATAGGTGCGTTGGCAGAAGTTGTGAGACATACTAGACAATTGGGTGAAACGGCAAGCGTGCTAAGCATTGGAGGAGGAGGAGGAGGAGGAGGAGGAGGAGGAGGAGGAGGAGGAGGAGGAGGAGGAGGAGGAGGAGGAAGGGGGCTGAACAGCTATAGTGCCTGAAGGCAGAAGCGCTTTGCGCGGGCGCGCCATGCCATCCGGCCTTCCTGCCATATCTGGCGCAGGGCGTCTTTGCCGCTAGCCAATTCGCACGCCATGCTAAAAACACAACGCGTCCACGTTTTTTTTGGTCTGCCACCCGCCTGGGCGGGCCAAATCGGCGGTGCCGGGCTCAAAGATACACCTGATTGGGCTGCCGTTTTGGAGCTGAACAATGTCACCCATGAGTGCGAGTTGGCGGTAGGACAAGAGAGAACTTAAAACATGGCTTCTGCACGCATGCCGCACGGAAGCGTTGCTCACCCAGCTGATGTAGGAGTGCGGGGTGCCAGACAGTTGGAATGCGTCCAATCTGTCTCGCTCCGCCTTGTTCAGCCGGATGGTGTGTAGGCAATATAACAGCCTCGAAACCACGCAAGACTCGAAGATGCGCACGTTTTTCTGCAAGCTCATTCTCACGTGCTTCCATATTCTACACAATGCATCAAATTCCTTGCTGGCCATGGCTAATCGCCTGCTGAGCTCGGGGCCGCTACTGCCGCCATTGCTGAGAAGTCCACCCAAATACACAATATGAGTCTTCTGTAAGATGTTTTTGTCGTCTGGCGTCACCATCGTTGTCTGGCAGCTCGCGGACAAAATCTCCAATTTTCTCCTGTTTAATGCCAGTCCATACTGCTCCCCGGCCCGCCGCACGCACTCCATCAATTTGTGTATGTCGTCCTCGTCTGCGCCAGCGAAAAGGGTGTCGTCGGCATACATCAATTCATTGACAGGGAGGCCTGGGTGTTGTTGGAGGCCTCTCAACAGTGCTCATGATGGACGCATATCATGCGGGGACACCTGCAAGGGGATCTTATGGACCATGGATACAGGCTCAGAGCGCCGATGTGACAGGTATCACACCAAGTGGTATAACGCCCTCCGACACTTTGTACGTCAACGGTCCGTGGCGTGCTCATGTACAGCAAGTGCCAGTACCTGCGCGGCAGTCTGCTTCATTTGGTCCTATGAGCAGAGCTACTACACCATTTGAAATTTGGTACTCCACAAAGTGTTGGGAGCAACAACAGCCTGCAGACGAGGCTCCACAGCATCCGGATGATTCCGCAGTATTATGAGGCTTTACAGGTGACATAGCTATTTGCATCGCAACGTCCACATGCGGGGCAACCTGCTTTTCCTGACCAATACGCCACACATCGAACTTCAGTCGGTCAGCAAAACATGGATGCATCGGCACATGCGCGAGGCCGCTCAGAGCATGCAGAGGGACGGCATTGACTTCCCTAGTGCCAGATGGACGCCGCCGTGGGAGTATGTTCCGGATTCAAATCCATCACCGGACAACCCCAGTCGGTTCGGTTATGCGCCAGCATTTTTCAGTCATCCGGTTTACGATCCAACATCTGCTGATCGTTCCACAGCAGCGCCAATGGATCATCCACTGGCTATCATGCCCATGTGAGTGGTATTCCTCGGGTGGGAACGCGGCCCGAGAACCCATATGCTCGGGCGACGGCCGACGACTTCTACCAGTCGCAGCTGATACGTGGCTCAGGGTATACATCAGGTGTGCCAGGACAGATACCTCACTGTGGTTATCTGGCTCCCTCCTTGGATCAAGATGTGCAGCAACAAGCCCCAGGCCCAGTATTGCCGCCGACCATGGGACAGTTGCGCCTTGAGATCCTAGCCATGCACGAGGCGCAGCAGGCAAATTTGGCTTTGCAGGCTACTCGCCAGCGCCGACGTCAGGATCGTCCGGCCGACCGAATGCTGAGCCGCGCGGGGCAACCTGCTAATCACACTATAGCAGGGACACCTGCGAGTAGTCCAGCCATGGTTGCATCAACGCAGCTATCGACGGTATCACCTACTCGGTTCGAGGCTGGTGAATCCACCTTGGAGCGTCAGACGCGCATCAGGCCATCGGCAACGCCGCCCACCATCAGTGACGGCGGCTTCGGTAAGTGTGCCATATGCTTGGACCAGGTCATGAACCACGACAAGGTCTGGCGCCTCCAGCGCGGTCACATATTCCACGCGCAATGCTGGGATCGAGTGGCGCACGCTCATGCGGATAGACAGTTGGCTGGGAACATGGCAGGTTCCGCAAGCGAGGCCCCCCTGCGCTATATGCAGGGGTGTTGGCCTCATTACTGCCGAGTTTCACTGCGCCATTGCTGGGGATCAGGATTCACTCGGCCGCTATGAGGATATACTTCGAGGGGCGAACGAGCTCAGGGATCCCCGTGAAGAGCTCAACCGCGATACTGCGATGACGACGGGCACCGCGGCAGTCTCGATGACGGCGCCAGCGGGGCAACCTGCGTCGCCAGCCAACGCGGGGCTAGTAACGGAGGCAACCACACTTGCAGGGGCACCTGCTATAGACACGCCTATGCCATTCGTGACAGAAGCCGACAACAACGCAGGGGCACCTGCTAGATCAGCTTCACCTTGGGTGCCGGTGAACGATACGTGGTTGAGGCGCATGGAAGGGGCTACCGACAGGTGTGCTCAGTGGCTTCAGTCTTCGCACGCATACATACCTTATGGGCGAGATCTCCGTCCACGCAGTCAGCGCAGGACGGAGAGCCCCGCAAGCATGCGCAGTGGCAATAGTGGGATATCCGAACGCGACATGCTGCATAAGGTATTTATGATAATTACTGATGGTCAGTTGCGCATGCGTGCTAAATGCATGCGCTGCAAGATTGCATGCGAAGAAAGGAGAGACCCTGCGGGGCAACCTGCCGCGCCGAGACTTGGCGCGTACTCAGCAAATGTAGCTGAGGGTTCTGGGGGGCCCCCCCTGCCATCCTGGGTATGAGGAGCATGTCCAACATGGGCGCCATCCTGATCCTTGAGCAGGGGCACAAGAAGATCACCATCCCGGGCGTGGAGATGCACGAGGTTCTACTCGGAAAAGGTGCCAGGGCACTCGACCGGATGAAGACACCTTCCAGACATCTGGCACCCAAGGCCGACGAGTTCGAGATGGCTACTGAGGATCAAGGGTCGATGTCTTTTACTATGACTGCCAATCCTCAGCGCGAAGAAGCTCCATTACTCGTCGAGGAGGTATCCGATCCGGAGTCAATCGCAGGGGCACCCGCTGTGCATGGTGTTCACGCATACATGATGTCACAGGATACGAAGGGCACCCGTTTCCTTATCAACGACGAGACGCTCACTTTCACGATCCAGACTTTGGAGAACAACACCTTGAAGACATGGCATCGTAAAAATGTGTCCTCTGGGACTACCCCTACCTCTGCCGACAAAGATTTCGCCCTCCGTTATTTGCAGGCGAAGATCGATCAGGCCATCTACGAGGAGGGTGCGAACACGACGCCTCCCGACGCGCAGGCAGGGGCACCTGCGGAAGGGGGCGGCGCCGCTGAGAAGTTTGATACGTTGACTTCGAGCAGCGGCTCTGCAGCGCAGCATGGCACAGGCATTTGGGCGCCCCCGTCGCCAAACGAGCGACGGGGGCAGGCGCGTGCCACGGCCACTCGCGCTTGCTCAGACATGCCGAACATTCATGTGCTGTCAGCAAACGCGGGGCAACCTGCATTCCTTTCCCAGGCGCCGCCCGTGCGCGCCGGGGGCCGCGGCAAGCCCGCGAACAGCAGTGGGCCCGGCTGCGCGGCCGCTGCAGGAAAAGAAGGATTGTCGCATCATTATCATTCTCGTGCATTTGTCATTGAGAATATACGGACAGCTTGCGCTGAACTCCGAGCCCGCGGACACATGTGTGATCATATTACACGTGCAGAGGTGGTGACCTCCACTGGTACACAGTATGTGGGTGCATTACTCTCGGGCGATTACCAACTGTTGCGGGCCACCCTCTGACTGGCGTGCGAGGCTGCCTGGCAAGAGGGCGGGGCCACGCTACCAGCGCATCCAAAATCTGATGTCCAAGGCTCGGGCTCTACGTGCGACTTGTGTACTTGTGTGGCGACCAGGATACCTTTGGAAACACGGCCCCATACGAGATGCGATTGAAGGTCTTGGTGTACAAGTCTTGCGCATGCGTTTCTGCCACTTCGGCCTCAAGTACGACCGCGCTAACACGTTGCCCAGCGAATCATATCTGCAAGTGACGACTACGTGCGCGCGCATCCCCACCAACTCATGGCGATGCGCACGCAGTATAGCAGGGAAACCTGCAGAACCGACTGAGCACATTCTAGACTGGTATGGACAAGGTGCTCAGAAGGCCAAATGGCGCAATAAGACGCTAGCGATCATGACCGCAGGGTTAATTGATCAAATGGACTTACATAAAGCGCACAGAAGTCACACAGGCGCCGTGCATCTCAGTATCCATATTCGCATTTATAAAGGAGCTCGAACTTACGTTCAGTCTCCTAAGCATGGCCCCGAGTGGGACCATTTTGCGGGGCGGGCGACGATGAACCTGGGCGACAACTCGATCATCCAGGACATCAAGATCCAGAACAAGCCGACTGGGCATTTATACAACGCACCATTACCCAATGGTGTTACCAACATCCGTACTTGATTGTACTGGGAGCAGCCAGAATCGACTCTCTTGGGAAACGGCAGCTCACGCCCACGCTCAAGGCGAGTGGCGATCGTCGATGGCGATCGTCTCCCTCCCCCTTCTGTTCCCCTCTATTCCAGAATTTCCGACACTTAGCCCACCTGGGACAGAGCGACAGGCAGCATTTCCAACAGATGCCAGAATTGAACAGAAAGAAAAACATAAAGCAGAC